TGTATGTATTTAAAATATATATTTATAAAAAATTATTTATCCCCCCCCCTTAGCAAAAAATCAAAACCGCCTCTGATACAGACTTAATGTGTGGGGAGAGGAAGGAAAGGATTTATCCAGGGCACCGGAAGTCATTAACTAGACCTCCGTACGAACAACTTCATGTAAGGTTAAAGCCTCGTATAGCATAATTTTTAATCACCCAGGATCTTACAAAAGCTGCAGCAGACTAGATCCTGGTGGCCGTATTTTTTAATCGTCCTTGAGTCCTTGGTCATATTAACACGAGGTTCATGGGTAATTATGTTTTGAACATATTACTATTTCACGGTACTGTTCATTTAAAGTCGGCGTCCATGTCTCCTATTCATAACTCTTCGTAAGTCAGCTGTCAAATGCTGTCAGATATATCGTACTTTGTTCGTACTAGACATACTGCGTGTGGACTATTTAATAGATTTTCTATAGAGCAATCATCAGGACAGTTCTATATGACGAGATTAATTTATTATTGATAGCTTGAGATAAAATATTTAGTATTTTTATACTTTCGAAATCCTCTAAGATTTAACTGTTGTCGAAATTATGTAAGCACAGTTGGTTTTTATAGCGATGTTTAATATAGTTAGTTATTTAATAGGGCCGATGTGTAGTGTTAAATAGTATTTGGGAAATTGACGACCTGATTTTAATAAATTACAAATTAAAGGAAATAAAAAAGATAAAATGGAATTACTTAAATAACTGTAATATATTTCAAAAAAAATTTTATTCGTACAAAAATGAATAAATACAATCTATGCTACGTGCACGATTAGCAAAAAGGATGATTGTATGCAGATGAGAAATAAAATATACTGTGGAGGGAGACCATCCGGTGATGTAACCCAATAATAATGACTCAAATATAAAGTACATGTACATTTATACCAAAAAATGATTTACGGTTTAGAAACTATTAAATTATAATTTATTTGTTGTAATAATGTAACTGTAAAATTTGATAAAAGTAAATGAAATTGAATGTCAATGCGTTCCGTATAAACCTTTGAGTAATAAAAACTGGACTTTTTTAAGTCGTTTACGGAAGTCATTCGTTTACTAAAACTCTGTTTTTGAACATTTGTGATTCGACTGAAAAAGTTTTCGGTACCTATTACACTTTACTGAGTTTGTTTACGAGTTCGATACAACTATAGTATGAATGATGTAACGAACCATCTAAATCTACTAAAAATGCGTTGCTTTCATTTTTTTTTTTTTTTTTGAATTTAAAGGACGGGCATTCTTTCCATATCTGAGTCATACATTACACTGCATTACATTGCGCCGCGCCGGTGCAACGGTACATATTATAACGACCGCGACCCTCCCGCGTCTTATTCGATCACGCTAATAATGCATATAATTTAAATACTTATGTACGAGTATATGTACGTACACGTGCGCCCCCGTCGTCGTTCTAGAACGTTTTGATTTGCAGAACGCCTTAAACGAAATGCACGGAACAACAGTTTGTGCGTGACCACACACCGCATGAAGCGCGCAAACCGTTAACATCTAATACATTTCAACCGGCGAACGATTAAATCGTTTATTTCGCTCTGTTGTAATGTTTCGTTTCGAGTATAAGATTATATAGAGCTAAGGAAAGTATATTATTTACATGTACGGTGAAACGCGCGTTTACGCTGAATCGCACGGACATTTCGATAACCAGAGAATATAAATGCATAATATATTGTAATAGCGAATAACTTCGAATTCCATACCAGTTCAATACACGCGTTTATAGATGTTTACATAACGAAAAACGTGTATCCGTATTGTATTATAAATATATCGATGGCGTAGCGCACAAGTGTGATAAGTGACATTTTTTTGAAAAACGAGTTAAGTGCATATTCAATTTAATCATAAAATTCTGCAAATTATGCACAAACGAAATTATAACATTATTCAAGTAATCGTTGTTCTTTATTGAAATTATAAGAATAATGTGATGTGTTTAAGTCAGGGCTTAAATTCTAAAAAAAATATCGTTTTTCCGTTTTTGGGTATTAAAACAATATACAATTTTAACGTTTAACGTTATTGTACTTTTAAACGTTATACAGTTTTAATGTTTAACGTTATAGTACGTTGAAACGTTATTTGATTTTTTCTGTTTATCGTTATTACATTTTTAAACGTTATTTTAATTTTTCGTTTTTCATTAAATGTTACCTATATTATATATAAAAGACAAAAAAAGTTTGTATGTCCATTATGCATTCCTAAACCGTTCATCCGATTGCGATGAAATTCGGGACAGAGGCAGATTATACCTAAGAGAAGGTTTAAGCTACATTTTGTCGTAAAAAAAGATAGATAAAATATCCAACGCGGGGATGTTCTCAAACAGGGGTATTGAGATTATTATTACTTTTGTTTATAAATGGTTGCTATTGGTTATAAATGTTTTAATAATAATGTTTTTTTTTTTACTTATAGGTAGTAAAAAATAAATAAATAAATAAATAATATATATATATATTAACTAATAATATCGCTATAATAAAATTATGTAATAAAAAAAAACCATTGACAAAATATGCACGCGGGACCTACAATCTACCACAGGTTATTGCTCTCATAATCATACAAACCTAGCAATAGCAACGCATTGCCTTGTCCAGCTAGTAATTTAAAAATAAATATGGAATTAAATTTATATATATATAATTATATGGAATTAAAGGGTTATCTCAATTCACGACCAAATATCTACAATTGACTAGCAACTTGAAATTACTTACATTAAATAATACTCCAAATAATACGCCCGCATTTTTCACCAATTAAATCGAACATAAATGGACAATTAGTTAAATAGGTGTCTATATTCTTATCAAGTAATAAATTCAATATTTAAAAATAAACCTTCAATAAAATAATTCGGAAAATATAAATTATAATTAACATAGGTTAGCTAACTTTGAATTGTTCATAATTTTTTAAAAAAAGAAATTATGTTGGATATAAAGTAAAAAAAAGCACAAACGTTTTTCCACATAACGTTATTTGTAATTTTTTTACGTTACAAATATATTGTTTATTTTTAATCATTAATTATGATTAATGATATATTATTTTTAATGTTATTCGACATTTTTCATTTTTTGTTTATTGATTTCGTTTATTTATTTTCATTTTTTCCGTTATAACATTATAAATTATAACGTTTTGAAGCCCTGGTTTAAGTATTACTTTTTACGTGTACAAAATGTGTTAAGTAGGTACAATATTTATTTTTTTTTTAAATTTTTTTTAAGAATACAAATGTGTTAATTGCAGGTTTTTTAATCCTCATCACTCATTACATGTTAAGGAAAATATAACAAAAATTTCGTTACATTTTTTAATTGTTATAACAGATCAAACTTAAAAATCGTTCTCCTGAACAATTACGAAAATGTCACTTATCACACTTGTGCGCTACGTCATCGATATAGGACTGCAGCTAATCGCACGTTGGTATTAAGAATACAATAATAAAATAACATTTATCTACGTTTAATTACGATTTTGTTACATTAAGAATTGGAGATGAGGAAAATCAGCCGTACGATAAAGTGTACAATCGCAGGCGTATGATGTCGGTGAATGTTAAACGCTAAAAAACACTAATTATTATAGTCTTTGGCTTTTCAGTAATCAGTGCCATCATTAGCGGGCAGGAAACTTAGGCTATTGCCTAGGGGCTCGCACTTAAAATTAAGCCGGGAGTTCACAATTTGTCAAGTTGGAATAGTTAGATATATTTAGGTGTAGAGAAAAATTACTGCTTTCGCGAAAGTTTGCGACGGCATCGCCAATGATTATACTCTAGAAATTATACACGATTTCAAAGACAATAGCCAATATTTTTAAATTTATCATTACAATAAGCCATTGTTCGTCAAAGCATCGCGTGGACTAATGTGTTGGAAATATTTACCGATCCACATTAGAAAATACTTCGAGTGTAATGGATTCAGTTACCTAAATCATTTACCTAACCTAACCTCTATTGCTCGGATCAAACGATTTCGGACCATGTAAGGGATTAGCACTCTCAAGATTTGGTCCATACATTATAACAATATTACTGTGGAAACGCTTGCTAAATTAATTTATTTGATTTGATATTTAACAATTGTGGATTTACTGGACGCAAACTAAGTACCTGTACTAATTTCATCTTGCACTTGTACTTTTTATGAAATTTATTTAAATGCGTTACGTACATGTGTAATTCTTTTTTCCGTAGAAATTAGGGTATAAATATAAATTCTGTATTCAATTAAAATTTTTTTTATCGACAAGTTATTCTTGTTCTCTGCTAAAACAAATTACGATATAAATAATGAAATACACCGATGCATGTACCTATAGCTATACTTATGAACCGGTTGTACCTATGATTATAGAACCATTCGTCGTGAACGTCTAGTCACTATAATGACTTCTTTAAATACAAATTACTAACACACAAAAAAAAAAAAAAACGTGTACAATTTAATAAATTTCAAAGAAGTTTTCAACGACAATTTCACTGTAATTTTCCAATTTTCTTCGGTTCGTAAGCAAACGAAATGGTACTACGATGCAAACAGGACACAACGTGATTAATAAGTGACACCGGGAAAGGGTATGGTGACGGAAGAAGGGAATGTATAGATGATGGTGTCTCGTTACGGGAACATGGGGAGCACGTATGGGGGTATAATTATTTTTTGCGAACAATTTCAAACATATCAATCAAAAGTGAAAAAATTAAATAAAGATTATTTAGCTTCTTATTGTTGCGTTTATACGGACGTACCGCGAAACATTGACAACTCTATCCCGTCACCGTGATCGTATTCCGTTACATTATGTCAAACCATAATGACGCAATAAAGCGTATTGTGTGTATTTTTAGAGAATACTGAGTATACGACCATTTATAATAATTGGATAATAATTTATTGTTCCAGGGACATCCGCACGACACCACTAAGCCCGATGAGATCACAATGTTGCTGACTTTTCTACTGACAGGTGAGTGCAACTATAAATACTCGGTAATTGATAACGAAACTATATTGGAATCGATGTAAGCCATTCGTGTACGCGTCGTATAAAAACTTGCACATATTGGAATGCAAAAAATAGTGTATATCTATAAACGCTTACTCGCAGCTGTCGATACCAGGTACACTAATAAATCAGTGTATAAAAATATGAAACAATTCGGTATTAGAAAACTCGCAGCCGAGTCACGTACTGATGGGGGAAAATGAGAATGGAGAGAAGAAAAAAAAAAGGACAAAAAAAATCCATTTGTATTATACGTTTTCAACAACTCTCTCGGTTCTTGTGTTATGTAGTAAAAATATTCTTCGTTGTCATTGTATTATATTATTAAATTGTCTTATATTATATTATGTATATTATATATATATGAGTTTGTGTATACATATATATTTATATGTAGTGTTAGTGAAGGTTGACAAAATTCCGTGAATTTCTAATCTTTTTAAAATAAAATAGCTTAACAAAAACATGTATGCATTCCACATTTTTGGTATTCGCTGAAAATCGATAATATTATAAGCTTAAATCAATTTGATTTTTAAGTAGTTCAAATGATTTATGCTGTACTGTGTATTTACAAAAAATTAATATATTTACGTGAAAATATATATTATAAATCTAGAAGATTATAACTGCGAATTTCATTCATTCGTTCTACTGATAGTAATCCAACTTGTTTTGACTCGTTTGTTTTGCGCGTAGTACACAGTCCAAATTTACATAAAATTATGTAGCTGCATATAGCTTACATCATCGCACTCCAATAATGTCCTTGGAAGGTCGTCAAGAATCGTATTCTTCATCAAAATCGGTTAAAAATCAAATTTATATTATATTATATTTTTATTGGATATCCATCCAGATTTAATCAGCCTTTAGAGAGATAAAATAAATGTTCGCAAATAATACCATATGATTATAATAATCTTAAGGTCATTTATATTATGCTCGGCACGAGTTTCTTTCCATAAAATAATTAAATTCTACAATTATGTGAAAAATGTATGGTTTATCGTAATTAAAATCAAATAAATTTGTTTTTATTGTTATAATGAACTTGGAATGTTTTGTTTGAGTAAAGAATCATAATTTCCATTGTACTTGTATAAAATGTAATTTTACAAAAATAAAAGTAGTTACCTAATTAACGGTAATTAATCTATTATAGATCAAGCTAAGAATTTAATTTATTTTAATTTATATAAACAAAAATGGTACTCTTTCAAATATTATTATTTTATCTGAGTGAAAAATATATGTTTAAGGATACACACATTTTAGAATTTTATATAGTCAAGCAGCTATATGTGTACAATATTTCAATATTGTAAGTAAATTCACAATTTCATCATATCACGCGCGTATAACGCGGTCGAACGGTTCCTCGTGGTATTTTTGCACGAGTTTCGAATTTAAAGTTACAATTCAATAGTCCCCAAGGTCTAAAGGGGTTAGAATATCAGCTTTGCCACGCGATTTGGCTTCTGTTCTGATTGTATAATATTTCCAACTAGCGTGTGCACCACATTCGATCGTTTATTATGCGATCAGACTATATCGCGTACGAGAATCGCCCGGATTCGCTTACATAAAACATAATCGAAAGAAAGAGAAAAAATTAAAAAAATATAAAAAAATACGTGTGAAACCGGTTTGGCGGTGGCCGAATTTTGCGGAGGCATGGGACGTAAAAAATCGCTACGAAAAGGGAAAAATGTATCTTGTGCGAGTAGGCATTACAATATCATGTGTGCTTTGTGCAATGTGGTTAACGTGAATCCTTTGGCACGCGAAGGAGAATCCAACAATACGAAATAATTTAATAATATGTTTTTATTGTGTTTGGTCTAGAAATCGTTTATGGTCGCATGTGTTCATTATTCTGATATTTGATACTGCGTAACATATTTTAGATTACATCCGATTTTAGATAACATCAACGCGTTTTTTGAAACTAAAGCTGCGGTTGTGAAGTTTAGCTGAATGTGCTACTATTGTTTATCTATATCCTTCTTCAGTCATATTTGTAATCATCAACTTCATCCTTATTATGCTGGCTTCTCAATTTCGTTTTTTTTTCTCGTTATGCATGTATTTTATATTTTTTATGTGTTTCCATCATTTAGGTTAAATTTTATTTGATATATTTAATACAATTTCTACAATGTTGCCCAGCAAATAATAAATTAAATAAACTGTGTTTAAATTAAAACTCCTCGTTTTTGGTTCAACGTGAAAAGTTTAAAAAAAATATTACCTATGTTGTTCAATGTTTAAACATAAGATTATTTTTAACATTTTACGTTCCACTTGTTTGAGAAATGTACCAGGTGACCTGCAGTTTATATGAATACATTTCACGTATTTCCGAGGTATTGTATGGATATGGATATCCTATGGAGGTTTAAGTACATATTGAGGAAGACATGAGGCCAATTTTTTTATTGTTTATTATACTATCATTTATTTATATATAGATCAACAGTAATTTGCTTTCATTCAAATATTTAAAAAAATGTTGTTTTATTTATTTATGGGAGGCGTGATATTACTTTTTTTTTTTTGTTTTGTGGATGCATGAACCAAAAAAGTTTGGCAACCACTGCAGTAGTGTTAGTTTATTTAATACGAAATTATTGAAAATAAATTAGAATAATAAATATTTTGGCAGTGATTAATATGTGGCAACATTTGCCACTGATTTCAAGAAACTGGCAAAATTTAATAATCGATTACATGGTTTAGGGAGAATTTTTTCATAGATATAATGTAATCTGTTATTATATTTTTTTATAGTTTTCGGGTTTAACGAATTCAGCGTGACATATACATAAGTTCATCTTTTTTATTCTTCTTCATTTTCTATTACACATATTTGAAGTGAACCATTCTAGTAATTTACTTACTTCCATATTGTATCTCTTCTGTTTCCCCTACAAAATATTTTTAATCACATTCAGTTATGTATATCTTAGCTTTGTATGGACGTAGAATACAATTAAATACTCTTTTTATGTACAAAAATTTTACAGCGTAATATTTATACGGCATACACTATACTAACAAACAAATGTTTATTATAACAATTACTATTTTTATTAAAATTACTAAAACAATTTTCTTCCATTTTTATTTCCGAAAACAGAGTATAAGGGGAAAATTATCTATAATTCGATGTTATCTATATTTAATGATTAATTTCTATGATTTTTTTCTATTGTCTGCAGGGCCGCATTTAAGGGGGAGGGCACTGGTTGCAACTGCCCTAGACGTAAGTTTTTTTGGGGGCGCCAAAATTTTTTAGTCGAAAATTTGCTCACTTATTGAACTTTTAAAATTATTTTAAAATTATTATTTTTTTTGTTTTTAATAACAATATCATAAATTAATGTTAATGTAAATATATTATTAATATATTTATAACAATATAGATCTAGAATAATGATCTAGAATATTATTAATATACCTAATATCAGTTCCCAAATTTGTTGTGATAATGTCAATAAACATAAATTATTTATAATAATACGGCGTATTATGTGATCGCATGCGGCATGTGGTGACGTGCCTAATATACAACGCATTGATTTTAGAATATCTATAAGGTTCATGAGGATCTATCTCCTATATTTTTAGTGGATAGGCCCCTTAGAGGGGCTTCAATTTTTTTTTTTTTTTGCGTTGGGGTGCAAAATGACTAAATACGACACTGTCTGTACAACACGTAAATCAAACTGTGGTAAAATAAACCATTTAAATCAATAGACAATTGCATTAAATGCGGATAACGTTAAGCTAGGAATAATTTACATTTTGATTTATTTTTTTTGAAAACAAAAATGAGGGGCAAAACGTTTCAGTTTATTATATTTTTAAATTTTTTACTATGACTAAACTTTTAGTAATAATCTTACTAATATAAATATATCTCTTACGGATTTCGATAACGCTAAAATTTCCTGAAACTCTTTTGAATTAATTTTAAAATGTTCATGCGTTAAATTAATTTTAAACATTAACGTGTAATGTTTAATATTATCAAAATATTTCGAAATGCGAATAAATATACCTACATACCTCGGGGAACAGTTTATATATACTTAATTCTTATAAGATACTATCATATGATTTAGTAAAATACTATAACTATAATTAGTTATGATGAAATGTGTAGCATCTATAAAATTAAAAATATTATACATTATTATATGTGATGATTTGATTTATTTCATAATAATTATCTTAGTTTAATATTCATGATATTTGAAGTGCTACGAAGAAAACCAATTATAGTCAATATTCCTAAACTGTTTAGTATTGCAGTTTTGAAGTTTCAGAACTCAAAAAAGTAAGAGATTGAGTACGAAATAATCAAAAAAAAGTATTGCTGTAATACAACAAATGTAATAAAAATTTACTTTTTAAAATCAATGACATGTTGATATAATTATCAGATTTTTTTCGATTTTTGACTATTATAGTTTTTCCTCGTAGTCCTTAATTTTATTTTATATTTATATTACTATATTAATAGTAATAATACAATTTTTTTATAAAAAACAACACATTTTTATCAAGGTGTATATGTTATGCATGTTAAAGGTTGATTTGTAAAGATATCTTGATATTATAAATTCATTATTTATTGAATTATTCGGTAGATTTTTTTTTTTTTACGTTGATGAACGTAGCGCGATAGTTAAATATGAAATTATGTCATAATTAGGTTCATAACATTATAATTTGTACACATTTAGCTGCATTCTAAAAATGAAATGAATATTTAAGATTTATTTTATATGATTAAAAAAAACCTATTATAATGATGTACATCGATTTCTACTAATATAATATATTTTAAATATTAATATTCGCCGTAAAACACGTATCGAAACCAACTCGAAATATTAAATCAAAAATATTACGCCCACCATCATACGGACTTGCATCGCGATTTTTGGTCC